AGAAGTGAGTCGCTGGTTGATGGTATCGATTTCAAATCGAAAATCACTCGAGCCAAATTTGAGGAACTCTGCGCTGATTTTTCCGGAAGACGTTGGAGCCTGTGGAGAGGGCGTTGAAGGATAGCGAGATAGATAAAACCAAGATTGATGAGATTGTGTTGGTGGGAGGATCGTCGAAGGTGCCGAAGATTCAGAAGTTGCTCAGAGACTTCTTTAATGGGAAGGTAAATTTTTGGCGATTGCTCTAGGCTATTTCGAACGAAGGTTTCCAGGAACTCAACTGCTCTATCAACCCAGATGAAGCGGTTGCTTTCGGAGCTGCCGTTCAAGCTGCAGTCCTCTCTGGAGTCAGAGATGACACCATCAAGGACGTCGTCCTCTATGACGTGACTCCTCTGAGTTTGGGAATCAAGCTTGTTGGAGGACGAATGAGCAATGTTATCAATCGTAATACACGTATCCCAGCAAATGCTACCGAGCCATACACCACAGTTGATGACAATCAAACAAGTGCGGACATCTTCGTCTACGAAGGAGAACGAGCTATGGTTAAAGACAACCATCTACTCGGACATTTCAAGCTCTGTGGAATCCCACCAGCGCCACGGGGAACTCCGACAATTGATGTGACTTTTAATATCGATGCAAATGGGATTCTGAAAGTCACTGCTAAAGATAGGGGTTCTGGTAGTTCAAATAGTATTAATATCCAATATGAAAAGGGAAGACTATCGCAGGCAGATATTGATCGAATGGTCCAAGAAGCTAAACAGTTTGAAAAAGAGGATGCTCAACGAAGAGACAAGGCGAATGCCATAAACGCGTTTACAGATTACGTGTATCAATGGAAACAGGCAGTCGAAAAGTACGGTGATCGGCTGAGCTCGAGAGAACGGACCATCGCAAAAGAGGCTGTAGATAACGCGCTTCGTTGGGCGAAATCCGACGGTATCGAGAAACATCATTTAGAAAATGTCGAAAAGATGTTTAAAGAGCTCTTTGAGGTGATGAAGATCACGGTGGAGAGCTAACTAGATGCACAGGATTCCAATTAATTTTTGATTTCTTTATTCTTACTGTGTTTCTAAACTTGTTCTTTTTTCAATAAAGTTTTAGTTTGCATTTTCCAATATGATTTTTAAAAAAAATTATTTTTCAAAATTTCAAATTATCGAAATTGACAGAAAATAACAGTTGATTCAAGGCTTTCTTTAAGTCTCCAGTGATATCCTCGACGTTATCGATGCCAAGGTTGGAATTTTGAAATTATCCGATTCCAGAAATTTCTAGAAACTTTTCTCACCTGAATCTCAAAAGTCCAGGAGCCACCGATGATATTTGCACCAAGTTGTTTTCTATGAAACATTGATAATGGATATATTAGATTCATTACCACCCAGCATGGATGACGAGTTTCAAGGACTGCAACAAGTAAGCTCTAATCAGACTCTTCTAACTTGACTAAATGAGAAATCAGAGAAAAGTTGTCAACTACAAAAATGTAGGTCTAGTTTTGTTTAGTAAACTCTGAAATTTTCAGACAGATCGAAACATTTTTAAGTAACTTTTTAGGCGTTTAAAAATGACACCTAATTTGCATTGTCAGTCTGCAAGTGCGCTCTGATTGAACTGGTATATCTTCTCTGGGTCAAATTTTACAAAAAAGTTGTCAACTACAAACATGTAGCTCTAGTTTTGTTTAGTATAGTCTGAAATTTTCAGACAAATCGAAAATTTCTAGATAACATTTTAGGACCCTAAACTTGGTTACATTCTTTTACAGCTGGCATTCTCAGCAGAGCGCGTTTTCATCAAATTTTGCGATGCCTTCATTCAAAATTCAAATTGCAAGAGCCAGTGGAGCGCGATTGCGATTTGTGGAAAATGTCGTACTGAAAACCCAGTTAGAAAATAGACAAAAAAGACAATTTATTGAGATTCAAAAAACACATTTGGCAAAAAATATGTAGCAATTCATCAGAGAGACCTAGAAAATGACAATTTTCTCAAGAAAAAATTCCAAAACCTATTTTTTTCGACAATTTAAAAAAAAATCAAGAAGATCGATACAAATCATTGATCCGTATATAATCGATAACCTCATCCGGCGTCGCATATTTTATCGATTTTTTCGCGGAAATCGCCGCTCGAAGTCGTGTCGAACTGACTGCCGACACAGGACACACATCATCTACGATCATCTCGATTTTTTCAGCCAAATTTTTGGGAATTTCAGACATTTTTTCTATTGTGGCCATTGGATGGGACTGGTCCCGGGATAGGACTAATAAACCGAATTCCGTGATAATTTTAATGATATCGGCGGATTTCCAAAGATTCGAACCATCTGGAAGGATACGGGTGAAGGAGTCGACGACGTCTCCACCGACCACAAGCATTAGTCCAACGTCCGAGCCGAATTTCGCCTGGAAAATGTTGAATTTCGTGGGATTAGGAAAGTGCGCGAATTTGAATTTTCGAGAAATGATGAAAATGCGCTCTGTCGAGAATTTCCCCTGAAAACGACTAATTTTTCGAATTTTTCCAAAAATATTCAAATTTTTGTGGATTTTAGAAAGTGCGCTCTATTGAGAATACGCCGCGAATTTGAACTTTTTGAATTCCTAAAAAAAATATAATTTATCGAAAATAAAGAAAAATCTGCTTCAAATTCGGAATTTTTGCATATAAAAAGCAAATGCGCTCTAATGAGAATTTTGTCAAAAATTAGGTTTTTTAGGTTTTTGGAAATTCAATAATTATTAATTTTAGAAAGTGCGCTCTAATGAGAATTCATTGAAAAATTTACAATTTTTAAAATTTTTTTCGGAAAAATTCAAACTTTTGTGAATGCAAATTTCATTTTTATTTCAGAAATCGAACTTTTAAAAGAAAAATGCAAATGCGCTCTAAGGAGAATCAGCAAAAAATGAGCGGGAATTCAATTTTTTGAGTGATTTTTTTGACATTTTTAGTAGACACATTTGCAAATGCGCTCTGATGAGAATTCTATGAAATTCTGGCGCGGTTTTGAAATTTTCGAAAAAAATTCTTTCGAAAAAATTCAAAAATCAGAAAATGCGCTCAAATGAGAAATTCCAGAATTTTTCTTGAAATTGCTCATTTTTCCGTATTTACCTGCACTTGCTCTCTATGATGTACTAACACATCGAGGGTCCGTGTCCATGTGGCACGTGTACACTCCCATCCGTCGGCTCGTATCCATTCAGATGACTTGGTGGCGGCTCGAACCATTTCTAGTCTGAAAATAGCTTATTTTGGGTTTCTCGGCCTCCGGAATTCGTTTTCTAGGCCACTGAAATCAATTTTTGAATTTTTTGAGAAAAAACATTTTTCGAAAAATTTTTTTAGGTCAAAAAATTTTATTTTTCTCACCGATGACTAGCTTTTATCAGTGTCGACTTGTTATTATACGAGTCCGCCACTGGGCTCATTATCCCTTCGACCACTTGTGTATCTTTGGATTCTAGATGACATCGTGCTACCTAAAAACAAAATTTTGTTTGAATTTTCCTAAAAATGCCTGAATCTCACCTCCAACATGCGTAAATGAGCGATTGTTGGTGGATTAAACGAGCCGACAGCCAAAAGTGCCACTCGTTTCATTGTCTCCCAACTGAAAAAAGTGAAAAAAAGTGTATAAAACTTTCATTTTTGGGGTCCGACAAAATTATTGAGGCGGAAATAATTGAGTTTGCAAGCTTTTGCGTTGACTAAAATGCACTTTTCAGCTCGAAAAATTGCAAAAATTGAAATATTTTTTAAAGGAGCGCAGTGCAAAAATGTGGTTTGGGTCTCGACGCGAACAAAAGGTACGGTAGAGAATTTATTAATTTTTTGCGATTTCCGTTGTTTTCCGGTGTTTTTTTTGCAACACATTTTTGCAACAATTCAAATTATTTCGAGAATTTCAAATGTTATTTTTATACAAAAATTGAGATTTTACGGCTAGAAAACCACTTTTTTAGCTCGATAAAACTGCAAAAATCAAAATATTTTTTAAAGGATCATAACGGAAAATCTTGCTTTGAGCCTCGAAGCGAACAAAGGGTACGGTAGAAAATTTATTTATTTTTGCTATTTCCGTTGTTTTTCGGTATATTTTGACAAATTCAAACATTTTAAATGTTACTTAAAAACAAAACTTGTGATTTTACAGCTAGAAAATCCCCAAAAAACAACATTTAACAAAATAAATTAGAAATTAGTCTCGCGACGAAAATCTGAGATACAGCGATTTTTTTTTGGATTTTTTCCACCGAAAATCAGTAGTTTTCAGCGATTTTTAAGCGGTTTTCAGGTCTTTTCAGAATTCTTAATGCTCAAGATTAATCTTCTTTCCCACACAAAAGTCTCCGTATTGCTCGCTCTCTCCCTCTCTTCCAGGCCAAAATTTTGCGAAGAACGCGAAAACATTGGAAGCGAGGGACTAGAGAAACAGAAAATGCTTCTCTCTTCTCCATTCTCGTCTGACTGTCTGCGGCGCCCGTGCTGCGTTTGATACTCAGCCGAGCGTCCACCGCTAGGTACGCAGCCAAATTTCCCACTGGCTGCCCTCCTTCAGGCCCCCATAAGAGAAGAGACGGGCGCGTGTGTGTGTCATATGTGTTGCGCCCGCAGCAAACATATATTTCCTTTAGTTTTATCGATTTGCGTCCTTTTCTCTCTCCGAATTCCGGAAGATTCTCTACACCTTCAACGACGTCTGGAAGTCCTTTTTTTCGATATTTTTTTTCGTCATTTTCTCAATAAATTTGTACTATTTGCCCAATAATAAATGATTATTATGAAATCCTGCGTTCTCAGATGATAAGAGAACCTGTTTATATTTTCATCGCTTCTTTTCAATTTTCGATTTCGTCATTTTTTCCTCTCTTTTTTCCTAGACAAATCGATATTTTACACGACTTGTTTACCCCGCTGACACACACACAGAAATTGAAGTGTGTGTGTTCCCGAAAATCCCTTTTCACCGGAAAATTTTTCCTCTTTTTTGTCCCAATTTAGACCTAAAAATTCATATTTTGCCGATTTTTTTCAGCCATTTTGGCCTAAAATTCCAGTGTTTTTTTGCTATTTTTTTTCCTAAAAATGGTCTAAGATTTCGTCTTTTTTCAGCCAATTTTTGGTCCCAAATCTAGATTCAAAAATTCATATTTTTGTCTATTTTTTCTGCTAATTTAGGCCTATTTTTGCCACGTGGCACTCTTCCTCACAATAATGTCTTCTATTTGCTCTTTGTGCAGAGGAGAATTCCCTCAGGAAATTGAATTTTAAATTCGAAAATTAGGCCGGAAATTAATTTTCTTATTTTATTGAATTTCGAAGCGCGAAAAATGCAGAGTTTTTGATCTCAAATTGTTGGGAAAATTCCAAAAAATATTTTTTTTGACCTACAAAATTTTTTCTCGCGGATTTCTCTAAAACCCGCCAATTTTATGCAGCCTTGGTGCAAATAAAGTGAAAACGGCAAATTTTTAGCTTTAAAATCCCAAAAGTTTGATATTACTGGTTTATTTTCTTGCTGGAAATTCCCAATTTTAGCTTCAAAATCCCAATTTGTCCGATTTTTCCCAATTTCCTGCTTCAAATTCGCCTTAAAATCCTTCCAATTTAGATTTTTCTCGTATTCTCTTTCTCACAAAATCCCTAAAATTTTCAGAAAACCGAGAAAAAAGAAATGGCCGCCCGAAACTCTGCCGGTGGAGCCGCCCGTCCAGGTGGACCGAACAGAACGTGCCAGTTCAAGCTTGTGCTTCTCGGCGAGAGTGCCGTCGGTACGTAGAGGCTTTTCTAGATGTCTCTAGCTCAAAATCACGCACAATTTCAAAATTTCCAGTCAGAATTTGCTCTAAAACCTTTCCTATGTGGAAAACTCGCTTTTAATCTAAAAGAAATGGTCTGAATTAGGCTAATTGAGCTCCCGATAGGTTTTTGAAGCTAAAAACGGCTTAAAATCGATTTTGCGATAGCGAAAATTCGTCTAAATTTGGCTGAAAGAGCTCGAAAGTCGCATTTTTCTCGAAAAATCGATATTTCGCAAGAACGTTTCCAGCTGAATCAGCACGAAATGACTAACTTTTCGACGAATTTTCGATAAAATGTTTCAGAAATGTTTTGTTTATTTACTCAGACTGTTTATGAATTAGGTCATCTGATATATGAATGATATAAACACTAAACACTTCTGATGACGTCAGCAAACCAGAAGAAGAAGAAGAATAAATTAAACAACGACGCATTCCGGTTCTGTCTTTCAGGAAAATCATCGCTCGTGCTGCGATTCGTCAAGGGACAATTCCACGAGTATCAGGAGTCGACGATTGGCGCCGCGTTTCTCACTCAAACTGTACGCGATTTTTGAAGGATTTTTCGATGATTTTTTGTGGGGACAACTCACTGAAATAGCTGAAAAATTTGGCTTAGAAAAACGATTTTTATGCTCAAAATTGCATTTTCTCCAGCTCATTAGTCCTGAAAATTGCCTCAAAAAAGGACAAAAATTTCCTTAAGTGCACTGAAAAGGCCATTTTTGTCGTCTTGCGGCGAATTCATTCAAAGGCGCATCGTCGTCTCAGTTGCCGTTAAATGTTATGCGCCTTTAAAGTTACTAGATTCTCAGCTCATTTTTCGCGATTTTTCATATTGAAAATTTCAGTGAAAATACCAGAAAAATCGCTGAAAAAGATATGAAAATTGTAGAAAATTCGAGAAAAATGGGTTTGAAAAAAATTAAATTTTCGAAAAATCGAGAAAATTTTCCTTTGAAAAATACTGAAATTATCGATATTTTCGAAATTTTGCAAATTTCCAAAACTTCGAAAATTGGAAATTCCAAAATTCTCAAAGTTTTGAAATTTTGAAAACCCAAAATTTTTGGATTTGCCGCCAAAATGCGGGTGTCCCAGAGGAAGGGAAACAAGGCGTTTTTGCCTAAGCCTATGATTTAAAACAAAAAACAAAAAATTTTGAAAAACACTTCAGCCAAAAAAGTGCTGAAATCGGCGAAAATCAGTGAAAAATGCAAATTTTTGGCTGAATTTTTTTTTCAAAATTTTTGTTTTTTTTT